AGTAAAGGAAAGACAAATCTAGGGTGATGTCAGTAAGTTCAAAACGAGTGCATTTGCATCCTCAAATCTAGTAAGGAACCTGTCACTGAAAAACACGGCTGAAGATGAGACAAATCGGTGGTAATGAGTCATATGTGGTGTCACATGCTTGTAACTCCAGTGTTTGGGAGATGGAGAAAGCAAGATCATAGTGAGTTAGAGGCCAACCTGGGATATTATAGCAAGATCCTGACTCCACAAAATAAATGTGTGTGTGTGTGTGTGTGTGTGTGTGTGTGTGCGTGTGTGTGTGTGTGTGTGTGTGTGTGTGTGTGTGTGATGAGACACCTTGTATGATACACTTATGGATGTCAAAGAGAAGAAGATATAAGACCCACCTCTTCAAGTTTCTAAACCGATGTCCACCTGGAGTTTCACAGTTATAAACTACAGAGGTAAACCCTAGGAGAGCAAACCAACACATGCACATCAATAGGAGATAAAAATAAAACAAAACATAGAGGTAAAAACAACTGCATAGAGAACGGAAGGAACCAATAGTTACTCTGCAGCCTCATGCTTAGTGCTTTACAAGGCCTTCTTCCCTCCACCCCTCATGGCAGTTCTCAGACTTCTCTATCCAGCTCCTGCTTTATTCCTTCTCTTACATGAACAGTTCAACCTTCCCACTGATGCATTTTAGAAACATTAGATGTTCTTCATGTCTTACTTCTTCCGGCTGCTTCGTCCCCTACATTGTTGTCCTCTTCAAAGTTGGAGTTCTCTGATTGCCTGCAGGGATCCTGTCACATCTACAGACTCCTCAACCCCCCATCAGGCTCATGTGTTAACTGTTTCACCGTTGCATTCTTTGCATTCTTGTGAGACTTGGGTTGACAGTGGACATCCCATAATATCTTTAAACCACCTCTGTTCCACATTCTTTCTTTCAATAATGTTCAAGTACATAAATGTGAACTATTAAGAAAACTACTGTGAACAAGCATAGTGGTGCACACCTCTAATCCCAGCACCGGGAGGTAGAGGCAGTCAGGTCTCTGAGTTTGAGGCCAGCCTGGTCTACAGAAAGAGTGACATGATAGCCAGAACTAGTGAAATCTTGTCTTCAAAAAAATTATAATGATAATAATAATAATAATAACAATGAATAAGAAAAATAAAATTACTCTGAAGATGATAAATGAGATTTTAAAAATAAAAATAAAAAAAAAATCTAAGAAAAGGGAACTAGAGGGATATCTCTGGGGTTAAGAGCACTGGCTTCTCTTCCAGATGGCCCAGGTCTAATTCTAAGCTCTCACATAGCAGCTCACAACTTCCTGTCACTCCAGTTCCAGGGGATGACACTCTCACATGGACATACATGCAAGCAAAACACCAATGCGCATTAAATAAAAATAAATTAATTTTTAAGAAAAACTAAGAAGATCTATTCTAAGATAGACTTCCAGGTGATAGTCTTTTGTTCCAATTATTTTTTATGTTTATTCTAATATTTTATATGTATGAATATTTTCCTATACACATATGTATGTACACTATGTGTGTGCCTGGTGCCCAAGAAGGTCAAAAGAAGATGTCGAATGCCCTGGGAGTGGAGTTACAGATGGTTATGAGCCACTGTGTGGATGCTGGGAATTGAACAGCTCCTCTGCAGGAGCAAAAAGTACTTGTAACCACTGAGAAACTCTCCAGCTCTTTTGTGCTCCAATTTAAAGAATATAAATTATTCTGAGAATATAAATTATGACTGTAGTTTGTACCAGAAATATGACCACAGATTTCAATTTTTGGACATAAACATAGAGAAAACATCTTAACCCTGTGCCATTTACATTTAATTTCTTATTGAAATAGAAATTTATATAGTATTCAATTAGCCATTGAAAGTTATTTATTCAGTGATATTTACTACATCCATAATATTGTATAGCTGCCATCTCTTTCTAGGTGCAAAATGGTTTAGTTACCCCAGAAGAATGGCTGGTGTTTAAGTAATCACTCCCTATTCTTTCTCCCCATCTTCTAGAAGCCCCAAATCAGTTTTAAGTTTAAATGGAACATATTAGACATATAGATGTCAATGTGATGTGACTATATTATTTAGGGTAAACCACTGGTTCAGCTCCCATTGGCTGAATAAGCATTTAATATCCTTGGAGCTCTGAGCTATAATCACTTCTTAATCTCTCTCCCTCTTTCCCAGCTCCCAGGTCACACTGAAAGCTCAATTTGAGCTGTTCATCACTGGGTATGCTGTATGTGTTACAGTGAATGGCACAATGTCTAATATGTATTTGTGAGATTCATTTAGAATTAATTCAACCAAGATGTTGAATAATCTAGCTAAGAGCATACAACTCATAAATTGTAAGTAACAATTCAAGCTTCCATTTATCCCTTTGCATCCTGAGCAAGACATGAGAGCTTGTTTGGGAGATATGACATTGTTTAATCTTGGCAAGGACCCTATAAGATAAATGCTATTATTAGATCATAAAATTGGGGTAGGAAGCAGAGATGCTTAAATCAAATTCAAGTTAACAGGAAGACAAGATGAGGTCTTGGAGCCCAGTAGTCATTTAATAAAATTATTGAAAAGTACCATCATTGTGTGGCATTATTTATAACTTTTAGGGAAAAAAAAGGCAGAAAGTGTGAGACCTAGAAAGGGTAGAAAGAAAACATAACCCTGTAAATCAACCTGAGCAAAGCTAATCTGAACCTACAGAAAGTGAAGCAGTATGCACAGGCCCTGCAGTGATCTGCACCAGGTCCTCAATGTATATACGATGAATTCTATCTAGTTCATTGTTTTCATGGGATTCCTGAGTGTGTAAACAAGCAAGTTTCTGATTCTTAAGCCTTCACTTGGGCTCTTTTCCTTCTATTGGTTCATCTTGTTCAACTTTGATGTGATAGTTTTTGTTTTATCTCATTATATTTTATTTTGTTATATTTTTAAATAAATAAAGGTGAGTCTTTCCTATAAAAATATTTCTAAAGTATATGGAATTGGCTAGTCATAATGGAATACACCTGTAATTTCACTTGAAAGGTGAGGGCAAGAATTCAAGGTTATCCACAGCTATAAAGATTTTGAAGCCACCTGGACCCTGTCTTGAGTGAGTGAGTGAATGAATGAAGAATATTCAGTTGAGTTTGTTTTTTGTGCCTTTATTTTCTCAACCCATAGAATAACAATAATCTTGCATGTATAGTTTTTATGACTTGAGTAGGTAATAAACATTTAAAACTCTAATACAGAGACCAGCAGTCTCAGTGAGTAAGGGCCTTGCCATCAAATCTAATTGCCTAAGTTTGATAACCTAGTTCTACATGGTATGAACACAGCTCTAGTTCTATACAGTGGAAGGAAAGAATGTACTCCAGTAAGTTATCTTCTGAACTCTACTCATATGCCCATGGTGTGTTCCCAAATACACAATCACACATACGCAATGGGGGGTGTCCTTCTGTATATATGTTTCTCTTATTAGTTGATGAATAAAACACTGTTTGGCCGATAGCCAATAGAGGCAGGAAGATAGGCGGGACTAGGAGACGAGAATTCTGGGAAAGATAGGCAGAGTGAGCCCCCCAAAAGACTCCATGGAGGGACTGGGAAGATAGGTTGTGCCAGGTGTTCTCTGGTAAGATATGGCCATGTAGACACACATAGATTAGTAGTCATGGGTGAATAATTATGACAGAGCTAGCCAATTAGGAGCCCTAGCTATCAGCCGGCAGTTTAATGATTAATATAGTGTCTGTGTGTATATTTGGGGCTGAGAAGGGCAGCAGAACCAGGTGGGACAAGAAAATCCACAATACATACACACTAAATAAATATAATTAAACACAAAACTCTAAACTGTCTCTTGGGGATTGGATATTCAGCTATTGGAGGGAAACTCACTAAGACATAGGATGTTCTAGGGGAAGAAAAAAACATGCTATCTTGAAAGAAAATTCATTAAACTCAGAAAGTAAACAACTCAAAGGCTCCAGGAAATCCTTAAAACTGACCAGACTCACTGGATTCCCCCTATGACAAACATATATAAGCAATAAGGGCTGCTGAGAAGCACTCCTGGAGAAGCTGAGATGTTTGGAAGAAGCAAAGTCCTGCTAAGCAGGATGGAAGAGACTCACTCAGACCAATTGAACTACCTATAAAGAACACTCTCCAACCGCCAATCTCTCAACTGTCTGAGATTGTGTAGTATACTCCAGGATTCCAGCTTTCACAATCTTTCACCCATGCTGGGGTAGACTTTGATGATGCAGCTGTCTTTGAGTTACTTCTGCTCTTGTAAATGACCCCAATAAAATGCCCTGATTCACCAATTGGACTTTGATGATATCCTTACTTGGGTCTGTATTGGTTCCCTATTGGGAGGTGGGGGAAGTAAATGTTTGTTCACTTCTTCTGAGGAGCATTTTTACACACACCATAGCCCTGGCTTCAGTTCAGCTTTGGTGAGGTTCCTTTGGAAGCCAGTATTGAAATAGTGAGACCACTTCTGGAGATAGTATCCCAAGATAGGAAGTTATGGAGCAACTTAGGAGCTCAGGGATTGGCCTTGCTCTTACAATAACTCACTCTCCTTAGAACTAACCCAGAGGCAATAAGAACTGTCATAATCCCATCCAAGCACAATGCCTTCAATGAAGTCCTAGTTCCTAAAGACCCCACCCCATCTCCCTGACCACAGTGAAGAATGGGCTTCCAACATATGATCACTGGGGGAACAAACTCCATGCAAATCATGACAATCAGTATATAAGTCAGATCACCATGCTTGACTGACATTTGGATTTGGGGGTTTCTAAACTTCTAGGCATCATCCTTTTAAAGAGTGCATACATACACGTCTACATGATTGAGAGACCTCAAGCTAAACTGTAGAAGTCAGGGAAGGCGATATGTAGAGACTCTTCAGAACCCCTAGGGGAAAGTTGCCATGTCTAGAAAAAGAATTAATATCACAAGGTACTCAGAGATAGTTGATTTTCTAATAACCACATTATTGGTATAGCATGCTGTATTCAATGACTGGAATATAATTTTATATGAAAATATCCATTGTTGATCTGAAATTCAACTTAACTAGGCAATCTTGGACTTTGTCTGGTTACTCTGCCCTATGGATAGTCCTGTGCCAAGCTCCAGGGATACTTGTTAGGGGATAAAAGCTACAACTGAGCTACCATGAGCAAGCAGGTCTGAATTAAGTCCTTGGGTGTACACATACATCTTTTTAACATGTTTCATCATCTGCTTGAGCCTTTTGTCTTTGATTGAAAGTCGCTGTAAACTATGCTTGAATACCACAGCGTTAATCACAAACCTCTTGAAGTATTTTCATATTGTGTATAATAAATGCCCACATACTTAGGATTTAAGTAAGAACTACTTACCACAATATTTAGTTAAAATTACAAAGTGAGTACAAATTAAGCCATCATTTTGTTAAGGTTTACATTATAAGTCTGATTTAATTTCCTCATGTTTTACTATGTATGTTCATATAACTGTTGTGTCAAGACTTTCACTGATAAAGTATTTCAAATTAGCTACTAGAAGAAATACATTTAAGGAGTTACAACTGATGTACATTGGGACTAAACACCTACAATCAAGGTTGTTTCTCACCTGAGTCCCTCTTACTGATGTTATGTAACAAATGGCCCTGATTGCTGGCAATAACTCACTTAACAGGCTCGCATTTACACGGTAAGCTCATAAAAATAAAATAATGAACCACTACTTTTCCTGAAAAGAAACCAAACCAAGATGTGGGCTTCATAAGCTGCATGGACATTTTATCACATCTGAAACTCTCATATCACTGGGAAACAAACGTTTTGAGAGGTGGTAGTAAAATGGGTGGAGTTAGGAGCAAAGAAAGAGACAGGAGTCACCATCTTTATGATCACTGCCATTGAACATTAGCGTCCTACTAAACCAACACTAGATATAGTGTTGGGGCAGCAAGAAACGGCTAAAAGGAGCGAAAAAGACAGGGTAGTAGCAGTGAGGACACACAAAGCGGAGACAGACAGGGACCTGAAGTTTTCTTCATGTATGTCCTTGTGTGACTTGTGCGATGACTTTAAAATCTCCCATTCGTTCGACAATGTCATTTACAATAGTGAAATCATCAGTGTCTTTTTCTCATTTTTAAAAAAATTCTCTGCTACCTTCTTGTGAGACATCCTAATTTCAGTTCATGGAAGAGTCCAAAGAATTCTCCAGATCTAATTTCATCCCAATACATCTCCCCAAATCACCTTAATGTGATGTTCTGGGAAATTTGTGGAGCACATTGTTATTACAGAGCAGCAGCATCTTGTGTGGTAAGGCAGCTAATTCCTCCTCTTTACAACTCGGCATAAGGCTTTTACTTAAGGCTTGAGGAAAAGAACCAACATTCACATTGTACATCTTGGGAGCTTCAGCAGGTTAATTCAAGGCATGGGCAAATCATGCCTCTTTGATCAAGTTCATATGGGAAACCTCAGGGAGCCACTTAGAATATCCTTGTAAACAGGCTGAAGACTGAGCTGTCCTCCTAACATTGTTCACCTATCTTAACATGTGCCTTGCTCATGAGAAATCACAGCTTTGAGAACTTTGTGTAGTATTCTCTCCCCTAGATCTGCTCAAAATATGCAGCGGATTTACAGATAGATAACAAAATCCAGGCCTCATCAGTCTTCAGCTCAGAACTTCTTCCAGTAAGATTCTTTACTGCATGTTAATGTAGCCAAGCACTTCCAAACACCTCAGGAAACAGTCTGTAAAGAAAGAATTTGATTTTAAAATTTGAAAGTATTTCATCAGGTATTTATAAGTAACATTCAAGTGCTTGAAAAAGTAAAACGGCCCACCCCTCCCTGAGGATTCATAAGCAACTAACAGTCTCTAGGAGGGAGGGATCTCATAGGGCCCCACCCTAAGGATTCATAGAAGCTGTTGGTTTCTGGGGAGGGGGAGACATTTTCTTCAATGGTATAGACACAGTAAGTTGCTCATGTTCTCCTCACTCATGTTCCTGTTAGCAAACATAATGAAACATGGGTGAGGAGGGAGAGAAAGGGGAGGGAGCAGACTAGTTGGGGCAGAGGAAGGCAGTCAGTGGAAATGAGAGAGGGGGTAAAAGAGAGTGAATATAGCAAACATGGAAACACATTAATGAAAATGTCATTAAAACCCATAATTATGTATAGTTAACATATGATAATGTGTGTGAGTGTGTAAGAAGAGAAAAATTTATATATATACATACATATATATATATATATATGAAGAGAAAAGAATAAAATTAAAATAACACTAAGAGATATAGGTTTAAAAGTTACATTTAACCCCTGGTTCTAACGTCCACTATAGGCTAGCTCTCACCATGGCTTTTTGGGGGGAGGGAGGGTCTTCCAGTGTTTCCATATATAGTCACATTTCATTTAATGATAGAGATTATTCCTGAGAAATGTATCACTAAGCAATTTAGCCACTGAGTGAACCACATAAAGTGTACATGTTCAGACTAACTGGACAAGTCCCCTTGATGCAGGCAGAATATGAGATGAACATGAAAGCCACTCCTAGAGTGAAATGGAATCCTGTTTTTGTGCTCATTCTTTCTTACTAAGAAAAAAAATGTCCCTCATAGCAAGCACATCATTATTGTCATGGCTACCCAGTATTACACACTGTGTATCTATACAGCTGTCAGCACAGTAGGTCTATCTGCAGTAGTTGAGTACAGGCATGTGAGTTACAATGCTATGATGTCTAAGACAACTTTCCAACTCCATGGTAGTCTTCAGGATTTCCACCATAACTTTATATACAATGACCCATCAATAACTGAATCACCTTCAATACACACACACACACACACACACACACACACACAAACACACACACTATTTCACAGGTTTTTCTACAGAGGAAAGTATACGTTATACCTCTTCCATTGTTTGCTTTTTTGCTTTTGTTTCAAGACATGGTTTCAAGACAGCTGTCCTGGAACTCATTCTGTAGATCAGCCAGGCCTCAAACTCACAGAGATTTGCCTGCCTCTGCCTCTGAATTCTGGGATTAAAGGTGTGTGCTGCCACCACCCAGCCCATTGTTTGCTTTTATCATGTGAAATTTATCCTGAGTCACTCAGTGTTATTCCATGGAGAGCATCTCCTAATTGATAGATTGTCCTTGTCAATAATCAATAATCAAAAGATCCCTTAACTCTTACCATACATACAATGCTGCACTGAGCAATTTGCCTTTTGTTCATGCACAGGTATAGCTGTAGAATGTTTCCAGAATGGAGTTGTCATAGGATTTTAATTTGGTTATTTTTAACATTTACCTAAGTGTGTCCTACATTTGGTTATTTGGTTACTGCTGTCTGTCTCCTTGTGATTTTATAAGCTTCTAGACCCGTGGTTCTCAATCTTCCCAATGCTGCAACCCTTCAATACAATTCCTCATGTTATAGTGACCTCCAAACCATAAAATTATTTTGTGGCTGCTTCATAACAGTAATTTTGCAAGTTATGAATCATAATGTAAATATCTGTGTTTTCTGTTGGTCTTAAGTGGCCCCTGTGAACGGGTCAGTGGACCCCCAAAGGGGCAGCTACCACAGTCTCCACCATAGCACCTAGAATGTTAACACTGAATACAAACTAGATGTCCTACGGTAAATATAATTTTGATAGCATAAACATAACCCTTAAACTTAGGGGCTAGCAGATTGAGGCATTTCTGAGTTTATATTTCAAGATGAAAATGGGACTGATAAAGATAAAAGTTCTGAATAGGGAGTGGCAGTTTCAAGGAAAAGGCTAACTCTTGAATCCAGGCACTGGGTGAATGTCAGGTAAATCTCCAGGTTAATTATGCACAGAGGCTAAATGACAAGATGGAGAGGAAACCTAGAGAGTTCCTTCCTGGTGAAGCCATGGAGACTGAGACTAGCACAAACTTAGAATTCAAGCCAAAGAGGGGGAGAAGGTGAGTGCACTCTTAAAGCAGAGCCTGTACAGAGATGGAGGAAGAAGGAGAGAGGGGAGCAACATGGTTCTAATTTAGCTTCTCACACAAATCCTCATGAAAGCTCTGGATTTTGCTCTGGAAGCTCCCACACTTAGGGAATTTGCTAGTGAAAAGCCTAGGTAAGACAAACATAGCTACTATGCTTCACATGCTCCTTCCAAGAGCAGCAGCCCCCAAAGCTCTAGAGGCTCAACCTTAGCAAGCAAACTATAATGAATGTTTCTTTTTCCATGAGGTCATCATCAGTCATTGAAGAAGCAAATGAACTATGTTTAGCCAACTTTGAAAAACATAGAGGCATCCCAGGTGCAACTGTCATCTCAATTCTCGCTAAAATCCCTCAGACATTGCCAGAGAAGGGTGGAGTGGTACAACGTCTTTGGTTGTATCAGTGTGGTAGTGCAAATGTGTTCTTCTCTAATGATTCTATTTCAAGGAATGAATTCTGTGGGTACACTTATAAAAGCACACATAGTGTACATGCTTGCTGAAGCACAATTTTGAGAGACAAAGATGAAATAAAATAACTTTCCATCAGTATGTTAATGGCTTTTTTATTCATAATGCTATCTTATATAGCATCCTTCCCAACTGCTAGAAGAATGAGGTAAACCTCATTGTGTAGAATTAGGAGCAATGGCTAACATCATTACTAAGTGAATAAAGTTAATCAACTTAAAACAGCCAATGTAGGGCACACCTTCACTATTTGAAAGAAAACATGGTTACATTGGAATAAAAAAAAATGTCTGTTAAAAATATGAGAGACTATTACTAATGGTCATCATTGAGGAATGGGATTGAGGGCACAAGAGAACAAATGAGATAGTTCTTTTCAGATGCTTTTATGCTGTTTTTGTAGTTGCAAAGTTCATTACATGAGCTATTAATTCTTGAGTTCCTTTGTTGTTTAAGTTATGTGGTATTTAATGATCATGTTTGACTCAAAATATCATCACTTTCAAAAACCCTGTTTAACAGGGATTCATTATAGCTGAGTAAACAGCTCTGGGTAACCTTAACTGAAGTTCACAGAACTGTTTTCAATTTTGTGGGTATATTCTCATGGCCCAGCACATCCTTGGTCAGATTGTGTAACTTTAGTACCATCCTTCGGTTTCCATACACTGCCATTTGTTACTTACCAAGGCACATCTTTTGGGTTTTTCTTTGTTTGCTTTATTTATTTGTTTCCTTGTTGTTAGTTTTGGGGATTGGTGGCTTAGGGATTTTTTTTGTTTGTTTGTTTTTGTTTTTTGAGACAGGATTTCTCTGTGTTGCTGCCCTGGCTGTCCTCAAACTCACAAAGATCCACCTGCCTCTTAGCTCCTGAGTGCTGGGATTAAAGGTGTGTGCCACCACTGCCTGGAACACCAGGGCACATCTTTTAAAAACACATTTTAGTTCCTCTGTTGCTTCCTGAAAAATCTCCAAAACAATTCACTTAAAACAATGGAAGAAATGTATAATATTTTTGGAAAGTCAGGGAGAAGTGACCGCCTTATGCAAATACCTGCTTTGCTAAAGAAGAGAATGCTCCAAATAGATTGATTCTGTGGTAGACTTCACATTCTGATGATTGGAGCCATTCAGTTCATCTCTGTCCTGTGTCTTGGAGAAGAAGAACCTGAGACAAAAGGGGGAGAGGGAGAGTGGGAAGGAAGGAAGGAAGGAAGAAAGAGAAAGAGAGAAAAAAAAATACTTGGCCAGTGCAATGAGCAATAGACTCAACACACATTCTCTTGGGGCAAGGCTTTAATAAAAAAGCTCAAATGTAGCAGAATATCATTTAGGACATCAAGTTACAGATCACCTAACTGTTGCTAAGATGATGGATGATATCTTTGCCTATATTTGAACAAAACTTTCAGGGTTGGAGAGTTTTAGCAAATTTGCTTTCTGCAATATGAAAAACATTATAGTGTTTATTTAATTGCCTTGTTGGATTATGACTGTTAAGCGTGGAAGAGTATCTTGTGTTTACAAATGTAGAGAAGACTTTCTTCATAGTAAGCTGGTGTCTGCATTAAAAGATAACTGATTAAAAGTGGTGCATAAGGGAATGGAGAGATGGTTCAGCTATTAAGAGCATTGCTTACTCTTCTAGAGCACCAGGGTTCCTAGCAACTACATAGTGGTTCAGAGCCATCTATAGTGGGATCTGATGTCCTCTTCTGGCCTGCAGGCATACATGCAGATGTAGTATTCATATACATTACATAAGTAAATCTTAAAAAAAAAAAAAAAGAAGAAGACATTCTAACTAGTTTTAGCTGGGTAGTGGTAGCACACATCTTTAGTCTCAGCACTTGGGAGGGAGGGGCAGGCAGATCTTTGTGAGTTCGAGGCCAGCCTGGCATACAAAACGAGTTTCAGGACAGCCAGGGCTATTACACAGAAAAAGTCTGTCTCAAAAAAAAAAAAAAAAAAAAAAAACAAAACAAAACAAAATAAATAAATAAAAGTGGTGTACACTTTTATCCCAGCACTCAGGAGGCAGAGGCAGGTGTATCTATGAGTTCAAGGCCAGCCTGAGTTCTAGGCCAGTGAGTTCTAGGATAGTCAGGGCTACATATAGAAACCCTGTTTCGAAAAACAAAACAAAAGGTAAAGGCATATCAAGAAAGCAAGCACTTTATCTCACTGTAGTTATAGCCAGGTCTAGCTCACAGACATGAACCAAGCCCACAATTCCTAAACAACATTGGGTTTTTCTTAGTGCACTTTGGAGTTCAGTGCTGCAGCCTGGAGGGCTTCCACTTTACAACTGAATGCTCAAGCCCAATGATCACTGGGCTAAGGCAAAGTGGGTTAAAAGATCAGTAAATCAAGAAGAGAAGGAATTGAAGCAAAACAAAGAAACACAGCAAAAGCCTAGTTTCCCTAGTTTGTTTGATACCCAAATATTCATGTTCTGCAGTTAAAAAAAAGGGGGGGGGATGCAACTTCCAAAGAAAATTTACTTCCTTGAAATGGACAGGTTGTAAGCCCACTTGGCAATTCAATTTCAAGTGTATGTGTTGGTGTGAATTTGAGTTTCAAAACATTGTCCTCCAATATTTAGATTTGAGTTCTAAGAGATAAACAATCTTAACCACTAACAGAAAGCCCCACGGCACATTGGCACTGAGGACTTGAAATGGCCTGTGGGTGAAGAGTACATATTTTATTTTACTCTATTCTCCAGAAGGCTGCACATAAATACACCAAACCAAGCCCACAGGATTGCGGTAGCTCTTCAAATTTATTTTAGTACAGACTGTCTTCTTCTTTGAACCATTAATCAACTTTATTAGGCACCATCCCTACAATTCACATCTATTGGTGCCAGTGTCTTAGCATCCTCATGTCCTCTCATCAGAACACTGGCTGGGCTCCCCAGTGTGAATCATTTACCCAGTTGCTTGTCTGATTATTCACGTGCCTTGGAGATTTGTGAAATGTGGCAGATAAACAGGTTTGTGCTGTGTGCAACTTGGAGGGCGGCCAATGTCTGCCTGCCTATACAGTGTATTTACTCTCCTTGCCTGAATCTCTCTCCCATAGAGAGAAGCCGTGTTTTAAGACTAAAATCAGTGTAGGATGCAATCCAGTAATGTCACTGCAGAAACCAGCAGGTGCCCGTCCACTCATTTACAGTGATTCTTGCAGTGAAGAAAGTGAATCAATGATTTGCCCAAATGGACAAAGAAACGTCACAGCGAACATGTTGGGGGGGGGACCAAATGCAGGGGAAGTAACCCTTTTCTTGAGAGGTGTGCCCTGATTTTAAACAGCAAAACCTCTCGCGAGAAAATGAGGAATGTTTTCAAAGTGTGCTTGCTGCACCTCAGAAAGCAAGGGCATGGCTCCCTCTCTCCCCTTGTCTGCTGTTTTATTGCTTTTGTGTTGTACTTCTAAAATAAATATCAATAAATCATTGCGGTTAGATACTCTAATATAGACAGAAATGTACTTGACTCCCTACAGTCATTACAATTGGAGGGGACTCTGATTAGGACGCTTTACTTAATTAAGTGATATCGTCTAAAGAGAGTTCTTCCCTCCATTTTCTGTTTAACAGTCTTGTAAAACACCAACAGAGGAAATTCATTCTGTTGTTTGCTTTCCTTATTGTAAATGGTTTCTTTTCATTCATATTTTACAGATGTGGTGTTAATGAAATGGCTAATAAGCCAAAGACTGCTACTCAGCTGCAGCCTTGTTTCAGTCAGCCCACGCTAGACAGACTAGAAACATTTTCTCTTCTGTCCCAGAAATGTATTTTTTTTTTCTTTTTGGCAGCATGTGTAAACTACAATTAAGTTTATTTAAAAGAAGAATTTCCAAAATAACCAGACTTCATCCAGTTTATATGTTTCAACAGGGAGCTTTAAAATCTCTTTCTTTGGGAGAACAGAAAAAAAATGGGCAAAGAATAAGCAACCCTTCATACATTAGATGTTATTTGTAAGGCATTTTGCCTTTACTGAAAGAAGTCATTAAATTTGGATTGCCAATACAAATATGATTATATATGTTTTCTAAATAAAATGTTGTTATGTTGCAACTGAACTCATCCATTTATTGTTTGTTTACCTAATGCTTAAACTGCATGTTTTATTCATAGATGTCTGGGAGAAAAAAAAATTTGCTCGATAATCACACCAAGCATATTTAACAAAAGCGATTCTCCTTTTATTAGTGAGAAGGTTTAAGCAGAATGATTTCATTTTTCCCCCATTTTGTTAATTCAGACTCACAGGATCCTCAGCGTAGAGCTTTTGTTTCTCTCCCTGATGCCTTTTATACCTTTAATGTATGCATGCCTATCCACTGATGGGAAAATATCATTTCCTGAAGTTCGTCCTTGTTCCTTCTTAGCTGCTCTCTCCATGGATTTCTCATTTTGCTTAGTGTTTGCTAGCTAATTTTGCCAACTTGTTTTATATATAAGATAGACCAACTGAAGCCAAGTCAGGAACCCGTGGTCCTGTTGAGGGTTTTGAATTTCCTTTCACCAGAGTAAATTTGGATCTTAAGTACGTTTATTTACTTGTCCCTTGAAAATAACACATAATTATGCTTCTAAAGAGAGTAAAAAGTGTGTAAGATAAAGTAATAAAGGAAGTGAATATTTATCAGCACCTTGGCGTGGTATTATTCTCAATACTGAGGTATTTCAATAAAAATGCTTGCAACTTTAGCAAATTAACAATAGCTTTAAATGTCAAAATTTTTTAAAACTAAACTCTAGCTTGCCACATATTAATTTCACCTCGATACAATATGCAGCTAAAAACATTTCTTACCTGTAAAATTTGAATGCACATAGGTCAATATATATGAATGGATATTAATAAATCACATGCAAGGGACTTTTAAATTAATTGCTAAAGTATTTAAAGAATATTTTGTGATGTTGCTAAGAATCTGCATTGTTTTATATCCATTCCATATAGGTTGGTTATTTACCAAATCAAACAACAATATTCATAACAAAATAGATGATAATTAGTCTGTTTGTAAGTTTTAATGGCATACCACTTGCATAGGACCAGTGCCTGAAGACAATCTAAAAGTATGTGATTTTTCATAATTTCCCAAGTTAAGAAAGCCAATATAAATGATATGCTCCTGGACTTGGAAGTCACAGAAGTTGCTGTAACAGCTTTACTAATTTTCCAGAGGTTCCATTTATCAAAGACCAGTATTACATGAGTTTTAAAATCATAGAACTTTAGGGTCTCCCTAATACTGTAGTCCAGATCATTTTTTATGGCTCAGTTAAGCTGCCATCTGTTAAGCAAATGTCTTTTCTTTAAGCTCTCCAGTTAAAAGGCGCTCTTGTCCTGACGCACAGCGTACAACATTCCTGCCCTTTGAGAAAATTTTTGAGGAACTGAATCACAAGACAATCTGATAGAGATTTTACTCCACCACCCACCCCCACATTTGTTTACTTCTCTAGAATTATGTTTAAGCTAATGCACCCTCCCCCTGCCCAGGACGTTAAGCTGAATGAGAACTGGGTGTAATGAGTACCACTGAGGTTAGAGTACCACTGCATCATTATCTGGCAGAAGAATGTGAACCCTGTTTCGGCTGAACCAATTATTTTTATCAAATGACTTTTCTACTTAAACTGTTTGCTTTAAGAAATACGGGTATTTAGAGATAAGCAGAGTTTTTGTAATGCACATTTTACACCATGATTACCCAGATTCCTACAAATCAATGGGTGGGCACCAGCAGACTTGAGGTTGATGATGCTTTGAGAAAATGTTTTCTGAGGAAAAAGATAACATTTACAGCCACCCTGTAGAATAAATGCAGTAGTCTTGAGTTAAACACATGTGCTACTGTGTCTTTAGTAGGAAAAGAAAATCCTATTGCAACATACCTTTTATTATTATTATTTGTGAAATGATTATCCAAACTAAAATATTTGTCCTGAGGCTGGTGGTCTGAAGGGTGAGTTTGCTAAGGGTCACAGATGTACCCTGTCACCGAGCTGGAGAGTAAATCTGTGCAGAGAGGAGAAAGAAACAATTTAGTGCTAGGCAGAGAATGGTTCTCAAAACTTGTTTCCTTTCTGCAGACATGAGTTTTCAAGAAAGGGAATACTTAGCAAAGGCCTTTAT